GGGTGCCGGCTCTGCCTGCTGTCAAAGGCGCGCACCGGCATGTTCGTCTAGCTCGGAGTGCGGAGCAATTTTAAAGGGACTGTTTGATACATGCCTGACTCCTCCCCTGAGATAAAGTGGTGCGCTCACACACTGGGAAGAAGAGCAGAGAGAATATACTGGAAGTGTCTCACATTAAAGCAGTTTTACAACACTGGTGTTGAAAGAAATCGATGTTTCCTAAACTGGCTGAAGGTCTGTGAAGACACGTTGATGTAGGTCGTACCAGCGACAGAGGAGCAACCGCCCTTCTTTGATCCTCGGTTAGTTGTTTTGCACTGAACTGCTATTAACACCTCAGCACATGCTAGCAGGATGAGTCACCAGATAAATCATTTGCCTAAAATCAAAGGCTAAACGGCAGTGGCGTGAGAAGCTCTTAAACAATTTTCACAAGAACACGGAGTGGAGTGTGCAAAAATCACACTGAATGACAGTTGTTTTACTTTCAGCAGCTAAACTCACAAAGTAAACCAGACTGATCGAGGATCTTTATCAGTGAGCAGTATTCCCACACGGTATATTTTTAAAAGGATGCAGTCGTTTTAAACTCCTTCATATGCAAATCATTTCAAACTAGTGTGCCAACAAATGTTTCCAGCTCATTTCTTTGTATTTCACTAAGAAACTGGGAAATTTATCCAGATATACTCCATGAGAAATGTTCGCTTGTGATTTTGTGTCCATGTAGTTTTTACAGTATTTGCAGGCTGAGTGAAGCAGCTGCCAATCAGAAGCTTTCTGCTGACTGAATATATCTGAGCCTCGGCAACAAAGGGAAGAAGACAAAATACAAACAAGAATAAAAATATTTTTTTAAACTTATTCTCTGTCTCCTCGGGTAGGGGCAGCATGTGTTTGTGGATACACAAAACTAAACGAGTGCTTTCCTTACAGTTCAAAGTGATAATGGGATCTCAGCTCGACTTTTAGCATTTCTGTTTTTCACAATTTCCAAGTCGGCATAAACCACCGTGTCTTCAGCAGAACAAGGAAACAGGTTTTCTCCCTGTGATACGATCTCAGACTAAATACAGGTGTTGGGTTTGACAGATAAGTTGCTGCCCCTGTGTCAGTTTCCCTCGTGGGGAAACCCCTGAGACAAAAACGTGTTCAGTGCCAAGAGTGAGCGAGACTGCTTTATCTGTTCATATTCTCATGCAGAGTTAATTTTAAATATGTTGTTCATCAGGCGTAGAGATAGACTTCCAAGGAACCGCTACTTATGAAGATCTTACCTCATTCAGTTTATGGTCCTTTGTAATTTACCGTTGGGCTTAGCTGATACATTTTCCCATTGGGATGATAACTCCACAGTATGTTTTTCAGTTGCTCTCCCTTCCATGTAAGAATAACTCACTGATGCAATCAGCTGTGGCATTTATTTAGTGGGGCTACGTTTTCATAAAAGTCCAGCTTCTCATCTGGTTTGAATTGTCAGCTTCCAAGTTAAATTAGAAAAAGAAACGCTGGCGTGCAGGATGCGTGGTATTCATCCAGCCTCTTGTGCAATTATTCCCTTAATAATGGGTGATAAGAGATTTATCACAGTTTTACCAGCCAGGCTGTCAACTGTTCCTTCTTCCATGTAAAAACACACTTGCTATATTGGCCGATATCATACACATCGTTTTTGTTTCTTGGTCATCCTATTTCCACAAGCATGAGTTCCGTTTCTTCTCTGCTTTGAATCCAATTAGCATCCTCCGAGGAAGGAGAAGCGCTGGCGTGCAGGATGCGTGGTAATCTTGTTGTGCAATGACTCATTTAATGGCAGAGGTGTCTCACAACAATCACTAGAGCCTGAGACCAGAAACATGCTGGGATTGTTCGAGCTTTATTGAAAATGACCTTTAAAAACAACCTAAAGGCCACATATCGATGTTACAGTGGAAACTGATGGAATAGCAGAGGGTGTGTGCCGAGGATGACTGGGTGTGGTGGTGGAGTGGCGGCTGTTTTTAGGAAAAAGCTCACCTGCAAAAAATTGTCAACTGAGGTTTGAACTCCTCACGTTTGGATTGAGGCGTCCCCGCCCGGCACTCGTTGCTGCTACATGCACCTCTAAAATATCACAAAGATTTTAATCAGGACTTCTCAAACCTTTCAGCTGATACTGTGCCAAGCTACAATCACATATTAATCGTTGGAGATTTTAATATGTGTGTTGGCCCTCCGATCCACTAACCAGAGACTTCTTAAGTTTGATAGACTCCTTCAGTCTCGCTCGCTTTGTGTCGGGGCCGACCCAGAAACAGGATCGTACGCTGGACCGCGTGTTGCTGTTTTCTCTGATCGCTGTCCTGGTGTGTTTGGTATTGTTTTATCTTACCACATCGTCGTCCTGTGTTTAAACCCTCTGCAACTGAAACATTTTCTATTGCTTTTATAAAAAAGGTCCTAAGCTCTCCCCTCAGCCTTGGTACCAAGGAGATGACGACTCATTTTTATCACAAATACAAAACTTTTCCTACTTTTAAAACTACGAGCTTGAAACCACAATCTGACCCTGGATAAACGAGACCCCTCCCTCAGCTAGACGAGTGCAGGAAGGCTAAACGTAAGCGGAAAGAAGATGTCTTTTCTCATTCTGAGAGACAGTCTGAGCAGGTATCAGGACATTGTAAAAGCAGAAAAAGTTCGTATCTTGTGCTTGTTCCAATGCTTGATCTTTAAGGTTCCAACATCTTAAGGATCTTTAACAGCAATCTTAGTTCAGGTGTTGTGCCAGCCTGTTTTAAACATGCTGTTGAACAGCCTGTACTTAAAAAACCTCGTCTCACTTCCTCTGTCCTCTCAAATTTCAGGCCTATTTCAAAGCTCCAATCAAAAATGTTGGAAAAGATTGCATTTGTTCATCTTTTGTAAATGGGCTGGATGTTCTTCAGAGGTTTCAATTCAATTCAATTCAATTCAATTTTATTTATATAGCGCCAAATCACAACAAATGTC